TTACAATCACTACAGTTCCTTGTAGAAAAACACCACCACCCCTTTCTGTTTCTCTACAATGACCACCATTCACTTCCATTCTCTCCTTCTGTCTTGAAGAGAACTAGCAATTCTGTTTGTCACTTGTCCCCTGCTGTCACGTTCTCTTTTGTTGGTCATTGATGAATTATGGGGCACCTTATTGAGACATTTTGACAAGCCAGGTCAATTGCATCTCCTATTTTATAATTGTTTGCTTTCTCTGTTATTGCTTCAACAAATGCAATGATATTGGTCAAGCAAATGTTGCCTTTCCAAATCCACGCTGACTATTCATGATTGTATTTTTTTAGATGCTTTCTATTGTCTTCCTTAGTAGGGATTCGATTATTTTTCCCAACACAGATGTTAAACAGAACGTCTACAATTGCTTGGGCACGTTCTTCTCCCTTTCTTAATTAAAGGAATTATGTTAATTACCCGCTAACTTCAATTAAAATCCCTATGTCTTTATTCATTCATGGAGTCTTGCTGATGTTCAGTTATTCTTTCCTTTGAGCAGAATATGATTTTCCTGCACTCTGCTGAACACCAGTTTGAATATTTCTCATAGTACTTCATCATTGTTTGCCAATATTGTGTCCCAATTTATTTTCTTAAATTTTATTCTCAGCCCCACAAAGTTAGGCTTCCTCCAATTTATTCACTTAGTTTTTGTCATATGTATTTCTGTCTCTGCTATCACGTTAAAGTGGAACACACTACTTGAAACAATGTTGGAAGTAAAATGTGTGTTAGTGTTTACAAGAGACGTGAGTGAGTTTTATAAAGAAACATTTTGAATTGTATTGAGAACTGGCAAGGAAAGAGTTCTATAGTAGCTCTCAAGAGGTTTTCCTGAATAACTCACCATCCCGTTGTGTGTATGTTTATAAGATTGGACTTCCTGGATGAGTGAATAGCACCCAATCAAATTGGTTCCAATATGAACAAAAATAGAAATAACAAGGTGTAGAGCTGGATGAACACAGCAGGCCAAGCAGCATCAGAGGAGCAGGAAGGCTGATGTTTTGGGCCTAGACTTCCTGCTCCTCTGATGCTGCTTGGCCTGTTGTGTTCATCCAGCTCTACACCTTGTTATCTCAGATTCTCCAGCATCTGCAGTTCCTGCTATCTCTAAACAAAAATAGAGATTGCTGGAAAAGCTCAGCAGGTATGGCAGGTTCTGAGGAAAGGTCACTCAATCCAAAACATTAAGTCTGATTTCTTTCCACAGATGCTGCCAGACCTGCTGAGCTTTTCCAGCAAACTCTATTTTTGTTTCTGATTTACAACGTCCGCAGTTCTTTCGGTTTTTATTTGGTTCCATTGTGATGTTGTTTGTTGAGAAAAGAAGGTCTTTGCCACATTATCTGTGATTGTGTCTACTCTATCTCAGAAAGTCAATCCCATATGTTTGACTTGAAGAAAAAGGGCAAAACATGTCTGCTGTTATCTATCATGTTTCATTTTATTATCAATGATGTGTCTTGCAGCACCCAATTTTGAGAAACTGGTCCATGCATTTCTGCAAAAAAAATGCACTGCTTGTTTTAGAGAATTCTCTATTTGTCATGTGAACAATAGAATTAAAGTGAATACTTTCTCACAGTGTTATTAGAATCTGTTTGACATATTGAAGGTCCTCTCAGAATATTTAATGGAAGATGCAATGAGCGTATGACATGTTCATTTCTGTCAGTCCTCAGGTAGATCAAAAATTTATCTTGTAGCTGTGCTGAGATATAACGAAGAGCAGTTTGGATTACATCAACAATAGCAAAGTCCCATATACATGTAGCTATGTCATAAAAGATGAGATCAGTTTGTCAGCAAAGCAACAGAATAGGAGGTAAAACCATCTGTTGCTTCATTGACATAACTCTTACCTCTGGGTCAGAGAATTATAGGTTCAAGCCCCATTCTAGATATTTCAGCATTAAATTTAAGGTTGACTCTGTGGTGCAGAGATGAGTGAATGCTACACTTTGAGAAGTGCTATCTTTCAAATGAGATGCTAAGCTGATACTCTGATTGCCCTCTTAGATGAGGTAATAGGTCCTATTTCACTATTTCAAAGAACAAGGCAACATGCAAAAAGCAAGTAATCCCTGGTATCTTGGTCAATATTTATCCCTCAGTCGATGTCTCAAAGATGCAATATCTGGCCATTGTCATAATGCTGTTTATGGGATCTTGCTGTCTTAGAGTCAGTAACAGCACTGTAAAAGGCTCTTTGATCCATTGAGTCTGCACCAGTCAAAAACAACTACCTAACTATTCTTATAATCTGGCATAACTTGGCATTGCAAGTGCACATCTAAATCCATCTTAAATGTTATGAGGGTTTCTGCCTCTACCATGCTAACAGGCGAATTTCTGTCACCCTCTGAATGAAAAGAACAATTTTTCATATCGTCTCTCAATCTTTTGCCCCATACCTTAAATTTATGTCCGTTGGTCATTGATCCCTCCATCAAGGGAAGGAGGTCCTTCCTGTCTACCCTATCTATGCCCCTCACAATTTCATACATCTCAGTCTTGTCCCTCTTCAGCCTCCTATTCTCCAAGGAAAACAACTCCAGTGTATTCAATCTCTCTTTATAATGAAAACTCTCTTTCCTGGCCACAGAAATGCCTGTCTGTTCCCTTTACAATTGAATCCCATACTACTACAGTCCTGCCAATCTTTTTCCTCCATTCTTATGCACCAGACCCACTCATGGTACTATGAACTTGGCTCCCATTGCTTTCCCTGCACAATCATCACACCAACATTGTCCAAAATGTTACATCTGTTAGAAAGGGGAAGGACACAGGGGACTCCTGCACTATCTGCCTTCCTCTATTCTGCCTGGTGGTCACGGATGTCCTTTCTGCCTGTTCAGTCTTCACCTGCAGTATGCACACCTCACTGAACGTGCTATCCATGACATGCTCAGCACCGGGGATGCTCCACAGTGAATCCCCCCTCACCTCCAGCTCCAAAACACGGTTTGTCAGTAGCTGCAGCTGGACACACTTCATGCACATGTGGCCACCAGGGATAACTGAAGCATCTGTGGTTTGCCACATAGCACAGGAGGAGGAGCTGTGCAAATTGGCTACTTTGTTTCCTTCACTACAATAGTGACTTCACTTTGGAAGTATTTCATTGGCTACAATGAATTTTGAAATACTTTGTGCTTGTAAAAGAGAACTTTGTCCTGGAGTGGGACTTGGGAGAGGTCTTGTGGAGCAGTCTGGGGGTGTTCCTATCGCAAAGCCAGAAATTGAGGGTTCAAGTTTCATTCTCGGACTCAGTGGCCAAGGAAGGCACATTCAAACATAGCCAAATCAATTTATAAATCATTTCAACTCATGGCAATGATAGGCAGTAACAGCAGGTGGGATTCTTGGTCAGCCACCTAGAAGTATCCTTTCTACATACAGTCATAGAGGTATACAGCATTAAGCCTTTGGCCCAACTCGCCCATGTCAACCAGTTTTCATTATCTGAACAAGTCCCATTTACCTGCGTTTAACCAATATCCCTCTAAATCTTTCCTCTCCACGTACCTTCCAAAATGCATTTTAAATGTTGTAATTGTATCTGCCTCTACCACTTCCACTGGCAGGTCGCTCCATATACGCACCGTCATCTGTGTGAAAAGGTTGCCCCTCAGATCCCTTTTAAATCTTTCCTCTCTCACCTTAAGTCTATGCTCTCTAGTTTTGGACTCCCCTACCCTGGGCAAAAGACCCTGGTATTCATCTTGTCTATGCCTCTCATGATTCTATAAACCTCTATAAGGTCACCCCTCAGCCTCCAATGCTCCAAGGAAAGAAGTTCCAGCCTAAACAGCCTCTCCTTACAACTCAAACCTCAGTAAAATCCTTGTAAATCTTCTTTGCTCTCTTTCCAGTTTAATAATATCCTTCCTATAGCAAGGTGACCAGAATTGTACGCAGTACTTCAAATGTGGCTTAATCAATGCCTGGTAAGCTGTAACATGACGTCTCAATTCCTATATTCAGTGCGCTGACCAACGAAGGCAAGCCTGCCAAATGCCTTCTTCACCACTCTGTTTGTCTGTGATGCCACTTTCAAGGACAATGTACCTGTACCCATAGCTCTCTCTGTTCAACAACTCTTCCCAGGACCCTAACATTAATCATGTAACTCCTGCCCTTGTTTATGTAACCAAAATGCAACACCTTGCATTTATCTGCACTAAACTCCATCTGCCATTCCTCAGCCCATTAGCCTAGTTGATCAAGATCCCATTGTATTCATAGACACATCTACATTAACATCTACTTTGTCAATCCCCTTTAGCATCTTATATACCTTAATTAGATGTCCTCTCATTCTTCTAAAGTCCAGAGAATATAAGCGTAAACTGCTCAATCTCACTTCATAAGACAAACCTCTCATCTCTGCAATCAATCTAGTACACCTCCTCTGAATTGCCTCCAATAGAACTACATCCCTCCTTAAGCAACGGGGCCAAAATTGAAAGAAATTGATGGCTTTACCATCTGTATTCATGGTTCCAAACCGCAAATTACATGTAAAAGAGCACGTTGCCACTTGGATCAGCTTGGTGTCTAGCTGCACAAGGATTCCTTTTCTGGCTGTGTTGCATTTGGGACCGCCTTGTTGACTTACCTATGGTAAAAATGGCAATTGTGAATTGAATCAGACCCTCTTTGGGAAGAGAACTGAAAAAAATATGGAACTTGGAGCCGAACGTGTGAGTGCTGCCAACTGAATCACAGCTGCTTTGGGAAAAAGTTGGAGTAGATTGAAACCACCAGAGTGAAATTGATTTGAGCAAGTCCAGACTTTTAAAAAAAAAAGGCACATTCAGCTTTATTGCTCTTGAGTGAGTTGACATGAGCAACTGTCATTCCCACAAATTGCCTTTGCCTGGGAGTAGGGCAAGGAGCTGTTGCGTCACTAGGCTTGAGTTTCATGAGCGCTGATCGCTGCCTCTCGGTCCCTGGCCCCCTCCCCCCCCCCCTGGTGAAAGGTCACAGAAAAATGGCGACTCGCAGAGGCAGTGTAGCTGCGCGGCTTGCAATCCTCACATTGAAGGTGAGCGGCTTAAAAAACCCGGGGATTATAAACAGTGGGGGTATGGCAACGGTGAGATTTCACTGTAGATCCACGCATTGACTAAGGGCACAAGGAACCGCCTTATCCCTGGCTGGTTACCGGGCGCCGACTTCAATGGGATGAAGCAGGCCCGGATCAGGGTCATGATCTGTGGGTTATTTGCGTCAGAGACAGTTCTCACTGTCCTTCGCTCATTTCATTTATTTTATAACCTGCCGCTTAAGACAGCTCATGCCCGAGTCAGAAGACTGGGCAGACCGAAAGACCTGCGTATGATGGAAATCAGAAACAAAAATGGAAATCAGAAACAAAAATAGAAATTCCTGGAAAAGCTCAGCAGGTCTGACAACATTTGTGAAGAGAAATCGGAGTTAACGTTTTGGGTCCAGTTCCGACCCGAGAAAGGGTCACTCGATTTCTCAGATGCTGCCAGATCTACTGAACTTTTCCAGCAGTTTTTGTCTTGGTTTTAGAAGGCTGTGGGTTCAAGTCTCACTCCAGAAGTTGGAGAGCAGAATCCAGGTCAACACTCCCAGTGATTTCTGCTCCGGCAATCCTGCCAGATTGCGAATCCACTGGGAATCGCTGGGATCCGAGAAGTGTATGCAGTCTCTCCAACACGCCAGCCAAATGGTGCTGGAAGGGTCAGGCAGGCAGGTTGTTTGGAGCAGAGATAGTAGGAACTGCAGATGCTGGAGAATCCGAGACAACAAGGTGCAGGGCTGGATGAACACAGCAGGTCAAGCAGCATCATAGGAGCAGAGAGGCTGACGTTTCGGGCCTAGACCCTTCATCAGAAAAGGGGGAGGGGAAGGGGGTTCCGAAATAAATAGGGAGAGAGTGGGAGGCGGATAGAGGAGAGGAAACAAATAGGTCGAAGAGGCAGGGATGGAACCAGTAAAGGTGAATGTAGGTAGGTAGGGAGTTAGGAAGGGGATAAGTCAGTCCAGGGAGGACAGACAGGTCAAGGGGGCGGGATGAGGTTGGTCGGTAGGAGATGGAGGTGCGGCTTGAGGTGGGAGGAGGGGATAGGTGGGAGGAAGAGCAGGTTAGGGAGGCAGGGACGAGCTGGACTGGTTTTGGGATGCGGTAGGGGGAGGGGAGATTTTGAAACTTGTGAAATCCACATTGATACCATTGGGCTGCAGGGTTCCCAAGCGGAATATGAGTTGCTGTTCCTGCAACCTTCGGGTGGCATCGTTGTGGCACTGCAGGAGGCCCAGGATGGACATGTCGTCTGAGGAATGGGAGGGGGAGTTGAAATGGTTCGCGACTGGGAGGTGCAGTTGTTTATTGCGAACTGAGCGTAGGTGTTATGCAAAGCGGTCCCCGAGCCTCCGCTTGGTTTCCCCGATGTAGAGGAAGCCACACCGGGTACAGCGGATGCAGTATACCACATTGGCAGATGTGCAGGTGAACATTTGCTTGATGTGGAAAGTCTTCTTGGGGCCTGGGATGGGGGTGAGGGAGGAGGTATGGGGGCAGGTGTAGCACTTCCTGCGGTTGCAGGGAAAAGTGCCGGGTGTGGTGGAGCTGGAGGGGAGTGTGGAGCGGACAAGGGAGTCACGGAGAGAGTTGTCCCTCCGGAAAGCAGATAAGGGTGGGGAGGGAAAGATGTCTTTGGTGGTGGGGTCGGATTGCAGATGGCAGAAGTGTCGGAGGATGATGCGTTGGATCCGGAGGTTGGTGGGGTGGTACGTGAGGACGAGGGGGATTCTTTTTTGGTTCTTATTGCGTGGACGGGGTGTGAGGTATGAGGTACGGGAGATGTGGGAGACACGGTTGAGGGCGTTCTCGACCACCGAGGGGGGGAAGTTACGGTCCTTGGAAAACGAGGACAACTGAGATGTACGGGAGTGGAATGCCTCATCCTGGGAGCAGATGCGGCGGAGGCGAAGGAATTGGGAATAGGGGATAGCATTTTTGCAGGAAGGTGGGTGGGAGGAGGAGTATTCTAGGTAGCTGTGGGAGTCGGTGGGCTTGAAATGAATATCGGTTTCTAGGTAGTTGTCCGATATGGAGACAGAGAGGTCCAGGAAGGGGAGAGAGGTGTTAGAGATGGTCCAGGTAAACTTAAGGTTGGGGTGGAAGGTGTTGGTGAAGTGTATGAACTGTTCGAGCTCCTCGTGGGAGCACGAGGCGGCGCCGATACAGTCATCAATGTAACGGAGGAAGAGGTGGGGTTTAGGGCCGGTGTAGGTACGGAAGAGGGATTGTTCCACGTAACCTACAAAGAGGCAGGCGTAGCTTGGGCCCATGCGGGTACCCATGGCTACCCCCTTTGTCTGTAGGAAGTGGGAGGAATTGAAAGAGAAGTTGTTGAGTGTGAGGACGAGTTCGGCTAAGCGGATGAGGGTATCAGTGGAGGGGGACTGGTTGGGCCTGCGGGGCAGGAAGAAGCGGAGGGCCTTAAGGCCATCTGCATGGGGAATGCAGGTGTATAGGGACTGGACGTCCATGGTAAAGATGAGGTGTTGGGGACCGGGGAATTGGAAGTTCTGGAGGAGGTGGAGGGCGTGGGTGGTGTCACGGACATAGGTAGGGAGTTCCTGGACCAGGGGGGAGAAAATGGAGTCTAGATAGTTGGAGATCAGTTCGGTGGGGCAGGAGCAGGCGGAGACAATGGGTCGACCAAGGCATTCAGGTTTGTGGATTTTGGGAAGGAGATAGTAGAAGCGAGCAGTGCGAGGTTGGGGAACGATGAGGTTGGAGGCCGTGGATGGGAGGTCACCTGAGGTGATGAGGTTGTGGATGGTTTGGGAGATGATGGTTTGATGGTCGGGGGTGGGGTCATGATCAAGGGGGCGGTAGGAGGTGGTGTCGGAGAGTTGGCGTCTGGCCTCGGCGATGTAGAGGTCAGTGCGCCATACTACAACTGTGCCTCCCTTGTCCGCGGGTTTTATGGTGAAGTTGGGATGGGAGCGGAGGGCTGCACGTTCTGCAGGGGAGAGGTTGGAGTGGGTGAGAGGGGTGGAGAGGTTGAGGTGATTGATGTCTCGACGGCAGTTGGAGATGAAGAGGTCGAGGGTGGGTAGGAGGCCTTGGGGTGGTGTCCAGGAGGAGGGGGTGTGTTGGAAGCGGGAGAAGGGGTCAGTCGAGGGAGGGTTAGGTTCACGGTTAAAGAAGTAAGCGTGGAGGCGGAGGCGGCGGAAAAACTGTTCTATGTCCAAGCGTGAGCGGTATTCTGTGGGTGGAGGGGGACAAAGGTGAGCCCTTTATTGAGGACTGACCGTTCGTCCTCAGTAAGGGGTAGGTCTGGAGGGATGGTGAAGACTCGGCAGGGCTGGGTGCTGCTGTCTCCTCTGGAGCTGCTGGCTGTGGAGGCTGTGGGCGGAGTTGTGTCGGCGTCGGCTGTGGGCGGAGTTGTGCCGGCGTCGGCGGTGGGCGGAGTTTTGTTTAACTGCCTCCAACGCTCAACTTCACCCTTGCAAGTTTGTGACAAAGTCTGTTACAGTTCAGTGCCGTCCTGGTTGAGCCTTCGCTGTATTGGACTGTCACAGATGGTGCCTCACATAATTTGGCAGGCTTGTTTGACCTCTTCCAGGACATCCCTGAAATGTTTCCACCATCCTCCTGGGAGTATCCTGCCACTCACTTCCCAAAGTCTAGTGTCAGATAAAATGACACGTTCTGTCCAGTGGAGTTAGTTTTGAGTGACGACTACCTTGATATTGAGCAAATTGACTCAGGAGAGGACACTGCTTTCCTGCTGTGTTTTCTTCCCACCAGGAATGAGGAATTTGTGGAGGATCTCACAAAGGCATTGCTCATATGACTTTCTAGTGCTTCGAGGTGTCTGCTGTACGTTGTCCAAGTCTCTGAAGTAAATAGGAGCAGAGGGATCACTGCTGCCCAATAAACCATGATCATGGACTTGAGTTTAAGCCCCTGGTCCTTGAATGTTTTTTCCTCAGTTGTCCGTAAGCTGAGCTGGCACACTGGAGGTGATGACTTTTGTTGTCTGTGTCTCTCTTCATGGAGAGAAAGCTCCCAAAATATGGAAAATAATTCACATTTTGCTAAATTTCCTTACTGGTGTTAAATTGGTGAGTGGAGGTGTTGTTCGCTGGGCACTGCTTGTAGAAAGACCATGGTTTTTCAAGTGCTAAATGAAAGACCATCTGGGAGTGCTGCACAATCAGAGGTGCCATTTTGCAAACAAAATATTAAACCAAATCCCTGTCTGCCCCCTCTGATGGACTTAAAAGCTTCCATTATTCCAATGATGCTCTGTTTTAAATGTCCCTGTAACACCATCACAAAAAAAACAGATTATACAGTCATTACCACAAAGTGAGTTTGCTGGTTGGAAATTGGCTGCTCCATTTCAACAGAGACTGTACCTTAACAAGTGATTCATTGGCTGTAAAGTGCTTTGAGACATCCAGAGATCATGAAAGCCCCTCTAAAATTGCAAGTTTGTCGGTCTCTGGCTCGGTGGGTAACAGTCTCTCTCCTCAATCTGAAGATTTTGGCTTTGTTTTTTGCTGTGGAGACCTGACTACATAACACAGACCAGCACTCCCTGCGCAGTAATGAAGGAGTGCTGCACTGTTGTAGTTGCCACATATCAAATGAGAAGTTAAACCATTGACCCCTGTCTTCCCTCTAGGTGAATGTAAATGATGTCAAGTACACTATTTCAAAGAAATGTAAGGGTATTTTCCTCTAACATTCTGGGTGATTAAGTGCTGGACTTCATCTAACTCCACAGAGTCATACAGCATGGAAACAGACCCTTCGGTCCAACTCATTTGTGCCAAACAGACATACCAATCTGATCTAGTCCTATTTGCCAGTGTTTGGCCCATGTCCCTCTAAACCATTCCTATTCATATACCCACCCAGCTGCATTTTAAATGTTGGAATTGCACCTGCCTCCACCACTTCCTCTGGCAGCACGTTCCGTACATGCACCATCCTCTGTGTGAAAACGTTATCCCTCGGATAAAGAAAAAACATTATCATGTTGCTTTTTG